AAGCACCAGCTCCATGGGCCTTATCCACTGGAAAACAATGAGCCCTGTTGATTAAAAAAGCCTGTTGTTTTGAGTTTAAGCGGTTTCCAGGGAGCGCGCGCCGCATTGTTAGTGTTCTCTGTGTGCTGGGAACTGGGGATTTATTCAGAAGCTGTTGTCTGCCAGGACCCATTTACCCCCTAAAAAAAAAAAAGAATAAGTGCCTCTTTGGATATGAGAGTTTGAAGAGAAGATACAACTTGTACTTTCTTTTCTTTCCACTAAATATTTGGACTTCAACAATGCAACTTTGGCAAGGATCTCTATTTGGGTTTGGAGAGAATGGTTTTGAAGAGAATGAGTTTGGTGAGAAAAAAAGAGAGAAAATTGAGGGAGAAAGATGTGTTTTGGAGAGAACAAAGGGAATGGGGTATGAGTTATTGAGGAAGAGAGATTGGGAGAGAGTGGATGAAAATCAGGGTAGATAGAGGTGAGATCGGAGAAAATTCGGAGAAGAGAAGAGAAAGGAGGTTGTGCCCTAATTGTTGTGCACAGCGTCAGCGGGGCTTTTATAGGCCCAACAAATCCACGGGACTAGTAGTCTTGTAGATTTGCTGGGCGGACAAACCACCTCTCTGCTTAGCGCACGAGACTACTAGTCCCGTGCGTTTTGAGTTGCCTTCAGAAAACTCACGGGACTAGTAGTCCCGTGGGTTTTCTAAGATCGTTTAGTGGGCAATTAGGGGCCACTAAACATACGGAACTAGTAGTCCCGTATGTTTCGGAAACCTCATTTGTGAAAATGACGTCTTTTTTGCTGTTGGTAAAAAAGAGATCGTTTTTGCCAGATAATTAGTAAAACGGTCGGTTTTGCTAATTATTTAGCAAAAATGGGCTCTTTTGAAAAAAAACTCCATCCTAAATAACTAAGAATACAATAACTAATTACTAAGAAGCATTACCATGTCCAACATAATAAGTCATTACAACAGTAAATAATATCTCAAACTCAGAAGTCTAATGCTCAAGAAGAAAAGAAACATGAAGAGGAGAGGAGACTAAGCCGTGAATCATGATGATGGCAGTGGCTGCGAACTTGCAGCGATTGCAGGGGTTTGTCAAGATCAGGGGTTGGCGGGGTTCATCGAGAGGAGGGAGGGGTGGATGCGGACCTGTGGTGGTGGCGATGGCTATAGGGGTTCGTCGAGAAGAGGGATGATCAGGTTTGTCAACAGGAGGGAGGGGTAGTTGTGGTGCAGAGCTTTCGTGGTGGTTGCGGCTACGGGGGTTTGACGAGATGAGAGAGGGAGGCGCAGCGGTGTTAGGGTTTGAGAGATTAGGTAGGGTGAGGTGAATAGCATAGAGAGAGAGGGAGGGAGAGAGGGAGGGAGGGAGAGAAAGAGTTTAGGTTTTAACTTAAGTGAAGCGGGTCGGGTTTATGGGTTCGGGTTGTGTTTTTAAATTGGGGGGAGGGTTTAGGTTTTAACTTAAGTGAAGTGGGTTGAGTTTGGGTTATGGGTTCGGGTTTGGGTTTTTGAAATGACCTTAGTCTGGGTTTTATCTTAACATTGGGGTCTTTTTTGTTTAAAAAGCTAGGCGGTACCTAGGCACCACCTAGCTGGACCGTCACCTAGACTGGGTGCTCTGGCCAAATCTAGAGGGCCAAAGGTCCGCCTACACCTAGACAAACGCCTAGGCGTTCGCCTAGAGCACTTTTTACAACAATGGTTATACAGCTAAAGAAATCATGAATCTTGCCCTCAGTGAAATTGTTTGTTAATGGGTCTAATCGAAAAAATGGCCAAAATTATTAGTTATAGCTCACAAAATCATGAATTTTGAAATCCATAACATTGTATGCTAATGAGTCGAAATGAATAAAATGGAACAAAAATAGTGAGTTAAAGTTCATGAAATCGTAAATTTTGGATAGTGTAAATTTATTTCGTAATGACATAAAATGGCCAAAAATTATGGGTTATAGCTCACAAAATCATAAAGTTTTTGACTCCTTAAAATTAATTAGTTATAGCTCACAAAATTATTAGTTATAGCATAAAAAATTAATATTTATAGCTCACAAAATTATGAACTTTGGAATCCATAAAATTGTATACCAATAGGTCGAAATGAACAAAAATAGTGAGTTATAGTTCATGAAATCGTAAATTTCGTATAGCGTAAAATTCATAATGACGTGAAATGGCCAAAACTTGTGGGTTATAACTCACAAAATCATTAAGTTTTTGTCTCCTTGAAATTAATTACCAATTTCTCAAAATGAATAGAACTAGTAAAAAATCATGGACTATAGCTCATGAAATCATGAATTTTAAGCTTTACAAAATTATTAGTTTGAGTGTCAGAACGATTAAAAATGGCCAAAAATCGTGGTTTATAGCTTATAACTCATGAAATCATGAATTTTGGACTCCACAAAATTATTTGTTGATAGGTTAGATCGACTAAAAATGACTAAAATTCATGCGTTATAGCTCATGAAATCATAAATTTTGGAAACCATGAAATTATTTTTGAATGGGTCATAGTGAATAAAAATGGCCAAAAATCATGTGTAGCTCATAGAATCGTAAATTTTAGCATCTGTGAAATTATTTGCTAAGTGGCCAAATAAATAAAAATGGTTGGAATCATGGGTTATAGCTTATGAAATTGTGAATTTTACCTCCACGATATTATTTTCAAGGGATTAGAATAACTAAAATTGGGAAAAATCGTAGGTCATAATCTCATGAAGTCGTGAATTTTGGATTCCATATAATTATTTGCTAAGGGGTCACGAAGACTAAAAAGAATTAAAAATTATGGATTATAACTCATAAAATCATGAATTTTTAAACTTCTTGAAAATATTTTGTTAACAGGTCGGAACAACAAAAAATGGCTAAAAATCATAGTTTGTAGTCATGAAATGGTAGTAAACTTTGGACTCTACAAAACTATTTTCCAATAGGTCATAAGGAATAAAAATGGCCAAAATCATGGGTTGTAGCTTATGAATCATGTATTTTGTCTGAAGTGTAGTTATTTGACAAGTGGTTGGAATAGATACAAATGACTAAAAATTATGGATTGTAACTCATAAAATCGTGAATTTTGGTCTCCGCGAAATTATTCTCCAAGGGGTTGGAATGACTAAAAATAATAAAAAATTATCAGTTATAGCTCATGAACTAGAAATTTTAAGCTCTTGCGAAATTATTTGTTAATAGGACGGAATGATTAAAATGGCTCAAAATTATGGGTTACCGCTCATGAAATCGTAAATTTTAGACTCTATGGAATTATTTGTCAAAATGAGTAAAAATGGCCAAAAATTCATGGATTATATCTCTTGCAAATGTGAATTTTTTGTTCGTCAAATTATTTCCAATGGGTCATAATGAATAAAAATGACCAAAAATCATAGGTTATAACTCATGAAATCATGGATTTTGGCATCCACGAAATTATTAGCCAAGGGGTTAGAATATAAAGATTATGAAAAATTATGTGTTATAGCTCATGAAATCGTGAAGGCATACTTCTTAGTTGGCTTAGTTGGCATGTGTTTGAGTGAAATGATTTTCAACTGATACAATAATATAATTTGTGGAATTTGTACGAGAAGAAAATTGCAACTC